TATTCCTTGTTTTCCTCAATATCTCTTTAAGCAAAGAGAATGCACTTCAGTGGCACACCCTTTTTTATTACCTTCTTTATCAGAGATCAAATAGTCAAGGGTGTTTGGGGTGTTTTCTAGAACATCTGTCCAATTATCAAACATTATCAAATACTAATTCACATGACATCATATGAGTAAAAAAATACCAATATTATATTTATTTTGGGACAAAGCAAAAGGGAAACAGGTTTGGGGTAAGGTCAGGAATAGGTATTTACCCTCTGAAGGGATGCAATTTGGGCCTGAGTTGAGCGAAGTCTGGAGGCCACTTATCCACCAGTAATGGTGGACATAGCCTCGTCCACAAACTGTAGATCTTGGGCCAAATTTTCAAGCAACCTTAGATGCCAACCAGAGAAGCAGAAACTGTCAACTATGACCCCATGATGGTCCAAATTAGCTTTACAAAATTCAAGGTCAGATAAGTAGATCTAGAGCAGCGGTTCTCAACCTTCCTAATGCCGCGACCCTTTAATATAGTTCCTCATGTTGTGGTGATCCCCAATGATAAAATTATTTTTGTTGCTACTCTATAACTGTAATTTTGCTATTGTTATGAATTGTAATGTAAATATCATTTTAGTTTCCGATGGTCTTAGGTGACACTTGTGAAAGGGTCGTTTGACCCCCCAAAGGGGTCGCGACCCACAGGTTGAGAACCGCTGATCTAGAGTGATTGTAGGGATTCTGCCACTCCCTAGATAGCCCCCTAAATGACTGGTATATGGTGTTATTCTTAGATGGCAGGGAGAAAAAAATATCTTATCATCCCACAACCATGTTACCATTCAGTTGTCCGAAGGAGGTGACATTTATTATGAAGAGCTTTCACTGAATTTTAATCTGATTGTTCAATCAAGTATAAAAGACTAGTTATTAGTTTTTTTTGGTCATTTTTTAATGTTTTAGAGCCAGGTAGAAGGGGAGAGGAAGGCATTTGACCTCTAAAGTTTGTAGGAAAGTGATTGGTAAATGATGCCACTGATTCAGTTGCATAGTGGTTATAGAAAGAGAAGGCGAGGTATACAGTCGGCGAGCGGAATGCTTTGCAGCCTTGCTGGCTTGACAGCATTGCTGAAGAAGGACATCTTTAACTTCAGTAGGATGGGGACAAAGAGAAGACATACACTGAACTATTTTAATCATGCAGTTGCAGCTGCAGGCAGTTCTGCATTGTAGGGTTCTTTTTAAAAACATGGTTGTCCTTGTTTAAATGGAGACAGATCCCCACTAATTGGTGCCAATATTTAGTTCATCATATAGTTCATACAGTATTATTTTCTTGTGTATCATTTTTGCTCTTGGTATGAAAGTTTCCTTGTCTGATGCAAAATACATTTGCGAGTGAAACTGTATTCAGCACCAGTGTTTGTTTTGATATTCACTCTCTGAATCCTGCTAGAACCCTGATGCCCTTCAAATTTCTAGAGTCTTCTAGAAATTTCGAGACCCTTCTATACTACTCTTGCTATGTTGGTTGTGAATTTAATGCTTTATATAGCAGTAGATACTAAGCAATTAAAAATCTAGCTGCTTTTATAAAATCATTTAACTATGCAGTTTTCTATAGTCCGTTAGAGAAAATAAATTTAAATTCTAGATGATAGGAAGCAATTACAATAAAGCACACATACTTTTGGAGTGCAAAGTTGTTCTTTGTCACTGCTGTCCAAAGAATAATTTGGATGTCTTCTATAAGCACAGCACTGTTCTTAGTGTTACACATTTTTTTTTAAAGCCTATTCAACTCCATGACTCTGCATCAAGTTGTACTTCTGCATTTTGCACCTTACTAATATTTCGTCATTAGAATAAAGCCAGGGCTTTGTAGATTTGACCACTGACCCAGGACCAAAATTGTATAGGATATAAAAAATATAATCAATTTCTGCCCTTTCTGGAGGAAAACTCTTGCAACACCACTTGGAGCATTTTGACATCAAAATAAGGAAAAAAAAAACCCTATCTGTAATTACATAGTTTATATATTTCTTAAATTCCCCTGATCACTGCTTTGTAATCATCCAGATGTTCTATGGGTTAATATTTTTGTTCAGTTTAATTACATTGAATTATTTTGTTGAAATTAAAAGAGGCTGTTGATTGAATTCTCCAGCATTGCCACCTTTTGTTGACTGCTGGCAATGTTAAATTAAAATAATTACTCTTCATCATTCCCATACTTAACAGAGGTTAGCATTGTCTATATCTTCTCCTGGGCTGAACTAAAGAGCTTTTTGTAATGTAGTATGTTTTGCCTGAGATGACTTTTCTAAAAACAAGACAGTTGCTTTTTCTTCATTGTTTGGAAAATAGACTTAAATATATCTGCCAAAGGTTTGCCTTTATTTTAAACTTTTTAAAAAATCAGATGACAGTTATCAGAAAGATCTCCTTTCTACCCTAGGAGCTTTGTAAACCTTTGCATTTGGCATTATCTTAACCCTGCTTTGTGATACAAACTTGGTTTTCTTTATTATTTCTTCTCTTCCAGAAAAAAAATGAATGTGGTCTTTTAAAAATTCAACCTCAACTTTTGTGATCAGAAAAGGAAGTTTAATTATGTTTCTAGTTTTTGCAATTTCTGCTTCTCATCAATAAATTTCTTTTTCTATCCAATAGGAACCCTATTTGTCTCACTTCCTGACTTACAGTCTCTTTCCATCTAAACAGTTTCCATTCGTATTAGTATTTGGGCTCTTTTTCTCTTTTACATTGGCTTCAATTACACATATAATTTTTCATTTCTTCTACAACTTTTTAGGGTTCACTTAGTGTTTACTGTCTTGCAGACAATATCTTTTTTTTTTCTCTTTTGTTTACCTGGAGTGGAGTTGGACTACTTCCATGTCCCTCCTAGAATTTATTAGGATAGATAGATGATGACACAATGCTGAAATCTAACAGTAATACTTTGAATGATTTTAGTGTTTATGGTCCTTTAATTTTTGCAGTTCCAATTCTATTGAATGAAAGAGACAAAGTGGTCTGAAAGGTAGAAGATAATATTGAAGAATACCGTGTCACAATAAAACAAAGAGAGTGGGGTTTAAAGAAAATGGTAGTGAACCACAGAATCAAATGCCAAAGGATGTTTAGGGAATCATGAGTCATTGGCACATAAAGCAATTTTAGTACAGTGTGTTACAGATGATTTTTTTGAAAACTTTAGTGGGAACAATAATCCAAGATGCAAGCCCTCTTCCCAGGATGGGCAGGATTACTGAAACTGCTTAGTTTGCTTCAACTTGGCCATATTTTTAAGGAGAATGGAAAGACTCAGTAGAGGTAGAAGCTGTTCATGCACTAGAAACGGATGAGCCGGGACAGGAGGCGGGGAAGATGGAATTTTAAAAATCCATGCTTCCAAAGTTCGTTTTCTCTGAGACACAGCAGGGAACGTAGATGGTTTTGTGAATGGTACCGGACATTTTCAGGTGGAAAGAGGAAATGTCATGTAGGGAAATTGCCATCTGCTCAGTAAAATGGGAGACTTTTTCTTTTCTCTTTCTTTCTTGGTTTGCATTAATTTTGTGAGTTGCCATTGAACACAGTAGGAACAACAGCTTGGGACAAATGAAATTATATCAATCACCTTCATGTATTTTTGTTACTTTCTCCTGAGCTTAGACTGGGATTCCCTTTAACTGAGAGAGCGCAACACCATCAATATAGTCAGGAATTCAGGGTGTTTTCTGACCCAAGTTGAACTTGACATTTATCCCAAGAGCAGTTTTGTACATACTGTAAATTAGGGAGGCAACAGGCCCGGCTTTGTCTCACTCCCCACTCTCTTGCAGCATGCACTGTCGGTTCGTGCCACTTTGTACTCACTGTTCGGCTTGTTCTTTCTGCAGTGCCTTTGGCTAAGGTGACTTCTTCACCTGACAGGTGTCCCCCTGCCCTCCCACGTCTCTCACATTTAACTAGTTTTCATCTTTCAAGACCTTAGCTTGAACTTGACCTCCTTCATAAAGCTGTCTAAAGCTACAGCTAGGCTCTCTGTCTCTCTCTGTCTCTCTCTCTCTCTCTCTCTCTCTCTCTCTCTCTCTCTCCCTCTCTCCCTCTCTTCCTCTCTGGTGAATTCTGCTCAGTCCAAATCTTTATTTTTATATTTCTTTCTATTTTCTTGGTAGACTGTGATTTCTCTTGTGGGAAGGGTCATATCTTCTATTTCTTTTAGATCCATTCACCTTGTCTGGTATCAGGCATGTGTTAATAAATGTTCATGCTTTAAATTGTAACTGGTGTTTTATTTTTACATGACTCTAATGGTTGGTATTTAAAATATGTATGCTTCTAATATTTTGTATGCTGTGTATAATGGAATAGTTTTGATGTTTCAGGCCCTCCTAATAAGCTTCATTAATTTAGTAATTTAAAATATTATTTTTCGCTTAAATTGTATTTTCCTTTCTTTATTTTCATGGTTTTGTACATGTTTCATTGGTCCCATGACTTTTTAAGGACGTTACGGTAACCTGGCAGAGAATTCTTGGGTTAAGGTGTTCTTTCCTTTCATCTCTGAAATGTTTTTCAGCTGTTATCATAGTCTTCACTCTTTTTTTTCCTTAAGTTCATCCTTGATGATATAATTATACCTTTTACGCCCTGGGTTTTTACTATCCCTCTCCTCTAGGCAATGTAAAGCCATGATATTTCTGATATATTTAGCATAAGGAAATACACTGATTTGTAATAACTTTTTATTTTTAACTTAACTCATTAGTTATTAGTAATGCCATTTATCTTGTAATTTGATTGTGATTGGAGAGTGGTAATTTGCATGCCTCATGCAAGCCAAACAACTTTTTGTTGGATAAAAAAGGACAAAGGAAACATATAAGTTGAATACGTTCATTAGAAAATAATTACAAAATGTATTATCTATTGTAAAATAAATAAATTTATTACCATGTTATATATGGCTTAAAAATACATATTTGTGTTTATTTTAGGAATCAAACATTTTAAGTCCAGTGCAGGATGGAACAAAGAAACCCCAGATTGACAGCAATAAGAGCAATAACTACCGGATTGTAAAGGAGGTCAGCAGAAGTAAAATATTTTTATATGGCTTTATGTTTGCATGGCAAAGAATTTTTGCATATGTATTATATTTAATATAGTGTTTGTGATACTGCTTTTCTTTGTCTTTTTAAAGATTTTGATTAGGCTAAGTAAACTGTGTATACAGAATAAAAAGTGTCGGGTTCAACATCAGCGATTACTGAAAAATATGGGAGCTCATTCGGTGGTGTTGGATCTTCTGCAGATACCCTATGAAAAGGTTAGTTCTTAGTTACTTTTTTTCTTCATTTTTTATTTTTTATTTTGATAATTTTTTTGTTTGTTTTTTAAAGATTTGAATTGGGGAATTGGGGGATGGGAACAGTGCTGGGGAATTGGGGGAAGGGGAACAGACAATTTGCTGTCCTTTTGTTCTTCAGTCTAATTGTGGAGGATGTTACTTCACTGGGCAAAGTTGGCACCATCATTGCGCTCTTCCTGGGCGAGGCAGATCAGTCGCCAGCTTCTGGATGGCCACTCACGGCGGCTGCTGGCCGCTCACGCTGGCTGCTGGCTACACACGGTAGCCCATGGCAACCCACTGCAGCAGGGGCTGCAGCCTACGCTGTCGCTGGCGACTCACGGCAGCCCAGCTCCAGGTTGAGCTGTTGTTCAGCATCTTAGCTGTAAAGGGCAGTGTCACTGGCCCTCATATATGGGATCCAAACCGGGACCCTCTGGCGTCCCAAGCCAGCTCTTAACCAACGCGCCACTCGGCCGGCCCTGTTTTGATAAATTTTTAAACGTATAGCAAAGTTACAATGAATTTTTCTTTCCTTGAGTTATTTGAAAGTAAGTTGCCAATCTGGTGCCAATCTGATGGCACCCCTGAGCCACTTAGTAAATATTTTCTACAAACAAGGACCCTCTTCTCTATAACTGTACAACAACGTTCCAAATCAGGAAAGAGTATGGCACTTTTATGCCACTTAATTCTTAGAAGCTATTCACATTTCTCCCATTATCCCAATCGTGTCCTGTTTGACAAAGCGATCTACTCAGAAACAGGTGCTATTTGATTGTCATGTCTATTTAAATCTTTTTTTTTACTGGAACTTTCATGACATTGAAACTTTTGAAGACAGACCAGCTCTTTGGGACACTGTGTCTTAATTTGGGTCGTCTGACATTTCCTCATGATTAGATTCAGTTATGCATCTTTGGCAGGAAAGTGACGGAAGTGGCACTAAGTTGTTCCTACCACTTCCTATCAGGCAGCACACAGTTTTGATTTGTTCCGTGATGTTCACTTGGATCATTTGATTAAGGTGGTGTCTGCCAGGATTCTCCACTGTGAAGTACTCATTTTTCCTTTGTAATTAGTATTTTGTGGAGAGGTTCTTTGAAGCCAGGTAAATATCCCATTTTTTATAAAACTTTCAATTTTTTCATTTATTTATTTTTATCAGTATGGACTTTTGGATGCTCATTTTATTCAATAGGCTCTACTAGGTTTCTGTCATTATTTACTTTGATTCTCAGATTGTTCCAGATTTGGCCAATCGAGCTCCTTTAAGCTAGCTTCCCTGTCTTCTGACTTGTCCCCACCATTTTTTTGAGTAGTTCCTTGCTGTTTTGCACATTAAAATGTTCCAGGTTCACCTTGCATTCTTTTTTGTTTATTTATTTATTTTACTTTGCATTCTTCTTACTCCAACTCAACTCTGGAATGAGCCATTTTTTAAAGTAGCCCCAGTTCTGTTTGGGGCAGAACGGTGTTTAGAAGCAAAGTTCTGAGAACTAAGTGTACTTATTACTATCGGTGTTTTGCACCCCTCCCCAGGCCCTCTAAATTGACAAAGCTAGGGAATATATGTGTGTGTGAATGTAGTTTCTCATGTATGAATACTCCATAATAATTCGTCTTTCATCGCTGCTGCCCACTCTTCCATATAAATGCCCTCCGCACCTCATTCAGGCTCTGACACCCCCGTGGGGGTTGCCCTTTTTCTCTCTTGAGCACCAGTGTGTCATGCCAGGACTCTTGATGTAGATTACTCTTCATACTGGATTGCCCTCCACCACCCACTGGCTTAGTTGCTTTTAATATGTAAATTTATAAATTCTACCATTCCTTAGGTGGCATAATTCATACTATGGCAGAGAATGCAATAAAATAATTATTGAAAGGCAACAAAAGGTATTCAATCCTTAGCCTTGATTATCCAATTTATTGTATCTTTGATACTGTAACATGGGCATGGGACATGTGATCAGGTTCCTTCTTTTAGTAATTGTAGCATTGAGTATTTAACTATACTTTGTGTTTATAGGTTTGCTCAGTTTTAATAACTGGCTTGTTAAGAAACAAACAAATGAAAAGGGTAAGATGAGAGTTTTGAAGAAATACAGTGGAGCTGGCTCTGGTGTTCTTTACTGCCCAGCTTTTCAGTGGGAATTGGGGATTCCTGTGGCTGATATTCCTTTGATGCCTTTTAACTACACTTGGATTACACAAGTAATGCAAAGTGTTAGTAGATTTTGAGATAAAAATTTCCTATTTTAAAATCAGGAAATTCACCCTACTGTATATATGAGGTAATGTGTCTACTAATGATCTTAGGATGTTTGTTTAGTTATAGATGGCAGAAATACTCTTAGATTAGGAAAAAAGAAAACATTGAAATTATTTAACATAAACTACTATTCAAAACATGGGTCAGTTTTGTATCTATGACAGTGACCACATGACAAATGGGAAAATCAACTACCCAGAAACAGTTTAGATGGTTTCAGTGATATTGTTAAAAGGCCACTTTTAAGAAGAGAACTTGGCATTTTTTGGTGAATTTTGAGACTTAAGTTTCGTAATGAGAGTTTTATAAGCAAATGATAGTATTAATGGGACTTTGGAAAATAACAGTGAATAAGGAAAGCAACCTAAGAGTACATATATTAAGGAAGGGTTGCTGGGGGGGGATAGTGAGGGGGGAAAAGAATAGAGGAGAAAGCAAAGAGAAAAAGGAAAAGGAAGAGGTAGAAATAAGAGACAAAGTAGATAATAAAGGAGGGGCAGAGAGAGGAGAGAGGGGAGGGCAGAGATAAGTTCAGAAAACTGTATATAGAGAAATTTACAGTGTGGAGGAGACAGAAAATGTGAGTGGGGAAAAGAAAGAATTGGGGCAAGGCCGAGGCAAGGGAGCTTGAAGCAGGAGAGGAGTAGAAGTGATAAGAGGAACAGATGCTGGCGAAGCAGTGGGCAGGGAGATGATTCAGAAAGAGGGGGATATAGGAGGTAAGGAAAGGAGAAACAAAGGAAACAACCAACCAACCAACCCCAGGAAGATCCAGATACCTAGAAATACTAGGAAAGAGGGGAAATCCAAGAAAGCAGAGGAACGAGAGGAATTGGGGGCTGCAGCAGAGAAGGGAAGAGAGCCAGAGAGAAGGAGGGGGCCAGAGAGAGAGGGAAGGAGGACAGAAGAGCTGTGGGACAGAGGCAGGGGAGAAAGAGGTGAGAAAGAGGCGGCTGTGTACAGAGATGGGAGATGTAGTGGCCCATCAGAAAGGCTGGGGAGAAAGGCAGATGGAATGTGAACGAATGGAGCAGAACTGATAATAGGAGGAGAAATAAAGAGGTGAGAAACATCTAGAAAAATGGGGGCTGTTCTGTGGGGGTAACCGGGAGTAGTTACAGAGGGTACAGAGAAAGGGGAGCATAAATAGAGGCACGGAGAAAAAGTGCACATGCCCCCAAACATAATTTTTTGATTATATTTTTGCTCTCGTATGCTTGTTTCTCTGTATTATAATGTGCCACTCTTTAACTTACAGAATGATGAAAAGATGAATGAAGTGATGAACCTGGCCCATACATTCCTGCAGAATTTCTGTCGGGGAAATCCACAGAATCAAGTCCTCCTTCATAAACATCTGAATTTATTTTTAACTCCTGGTGTGAGTATTTTACCGACTTCTAATATTTGTAGTAAAGTGTTCATCACATTTATTTGAGCAGCATTGATGAGTAGAATTTTATTAATCTTCATCACCTCATTTTTTTTTTCCTTGTAGAGGTTCTCTCCCTAAAAGTGAATATATTTTATTTCCAATAAGGAAACATTTAAAGAAACCTGAAAAATTACACAAATTTTACCTGCCAATGACCACTTCATTTATATGCATATAGTTTAATTATAGGAAGGATGATGTGGTAGAACAAAGGGCTAGCTAGCTCTGTAGTGCCACCAGTAAGATAAATACGGAAAACTCAAAACTCCGCTCCGTAAAATGTGTCAGCGGGTAGTAGGGAAGAGCTAACTTTGAATTAAATGAATCTCAAGAATACCGTTGCCAACATGTTGACCTTTATGATAATAAGCCCCTTTTTCCAGCTAAACTCCTTTGTGAGCTCAGTTTTCTGAGTGGTGAATGACCTCATTGCATTTTGTCGAAGACTTGCACAGAAAACTCACTATGGCTTTGCATAAAATATAGAACCTATCGCAAACAAGGAAATTAGTCTGACCGCTGTAGAAGAGAAAACTGATCCTGTTACCAGTACAAGGGTGCATCCTTCTCTGTTTAGCTCCTAGAAGCAGAAACCATGCGGCACATCTTCCTGAACAATTACCATCTGTGCAATGAGATTAGCGAGAGAGTCGTGCAGCATTTTGTGCACTGCATCGAGACACACGGCCGCCACGTGCAATACCTGAGGTTTTTGCAAACAATTGTCAAAGCAGATGGTAAATATGTGAAGAAATGCCAGGATATGGTCATGACGGAGGTACGTTCTCGGCTTGCATTTTGTCAGCTTTACTCAAACAATATGCTCAAATAAGCATTTTTCTGTTAACTTAGAGAGAAAAAAGAAACAAAAATGCAACCACATAGGTTTAGAAAATAATTGTGACTACTTAAGTATAAATATATTTTGCTTAAGTCTAGGGAAGTGACAAGTTGAGTTTATAATTTTCTGAGTCTTATTTTGGATTCTTAAGGAATTTGTGGTAGTTTTTAAGTTATTCGTTTTTAAAATCAGTATGTTTTAATGGAAACAACTCGACAAAAATCTGTCACAGAATTTTGAGACCCATTAAAAACAAAGTTTAATGACAGAAAAAAAAGAGGAATTTGTGTACTTTCAATAATGGGTAAATGTCTATGAGTTGTTATAGATCAGTTAGAATGAAAGTGACAAAATTTTATATTTTTAAGTTTCAGTATGTAACAAAAATGGTTTAAACTCTGCTTTTCCAGTGCCTTTATTACTCTATGCCTAAATATAGAATGGGTGTTCTCTGCTACTCTTTGCAGAGGACTTTGAAGAGAATTAAACTAAATAGTAGAAATTATTCATCAGTGATTTATTACACGTGAAAACCTAGCTATTTATAGTAAATTAAAATTTTAAGAAAAACAAATGAATGAGGTACTTAATTGGTCTTGTCATTTTCATTGTGATATTTGGCATTAAGTGAGATTTACGAAATGAATAAGTTACTCACTGGGAACCAAGTGATAGGGTGGAGAGCTGACAGCTATTTTAGTACATGTGGGTCAATCATTGCCCTGTGACTTCATGGTTTTCTAAAGGTCTGTATGGATCTAGACAGCTTTCAATCATCACTACCAAACAGTTATGTAATAGATTATATTGTTTTGAGAGATTCTCACAATTATATACCTTAAATTTGGGAATGAAGGTGATTTCTATAATGATACAATGTGAGCACTCCTGCCCCATAGAAATCTTAACATTAATCCAGCTTAAAGCTTTGAACTTTTGATGTAAATTTTTGTTATAAAAGATTTTAAGGAACATTTTCACTTGTACAATTTACCTTTTTCTTATCTACATTTACATTCACATTAGTTCTTCATTCCCGAGAAATGTGTGTGAGCTAATTTGATTTTGTATTATAATCATGAAGGAAAGAATTAAAATGGGAAAGCAGCAAATATTTAAGCCGCTTCTATGACAACAAAAGATGAAGTGTTCCTGTGTGTAAAGAAGTATTTGTAATATATTGTGTTAAGATATATTTTTGACACATATACATTCTCTTTCAACAAAACTTTCAAAGCCAACTAATTCCTATCAATTTAAATAAAACAGAAAAAATTATATAACCTGTGTGTTACCCACCAAAATATCTTACACTGGGGTTAGAAAATTGGTACTTGTAAGAGACAATAAGACATGATGGATTCTGAGCAATAAAATTATCACCTGCTAGAATTCTCCATTAAAATTATGTAAACAAAACAGGGAGGAAAATTTGTGTCCTAAAAGCTTATTTGTTTTTTCTTTCTGTTTTCTCTTTTTAGAAGTCTTTTTCTCTTTATTTCTCCTGTCTCTGCTTTTACATCCTTTCTTTATTGATGCTAATGACACATGGAAATTCTGATTTTTAGAGAGTTGATTTGGCTCAATGTACTTGCTTACTTATTCTGCCACTATTGAATTGGATGGGGACACTTTATTCTGCTTTAGTAAAATTAGGCTTACAGGATTTCTCATGCTTTGGCAATGGAGTCTTCCACTTGAAGTAAAGGGAAGTAACTTTATTCAAATATTTTGCAAGTTTAATTTCAGTGGGTAACTCAATGATGAACAATTTACTATCATCCATGTCATTTAACCCTTGCCTCCACCCGCTGCTCCTACATTTCCCTACTGCTTTTGATCGTGTTCATAACAAATCACTTAGCACATGACTAAAATAATTTTACCACTTTGCCTTGGTATAGTTGTGCTTTTGCAATATTATCGTTTTTATAAATATATACAAGGGTTTCCAGATAGGGCAAACCTTTGGAAATAAGTACAGGATGAATATTTGAACTGCTATGTAGACTCTCTTATTATCATTTCAGCTGATAAATGGGGGTGAAGATGTGCTGATATTTTACAATGATAGAGCATCGTTTCCCATCCTCCTCCATATGATGTGTTCAGAGAGAGACCGAGGGGATGAGAGCGGCCCCTTAGCCTACCACATCACCCTCGTGGAGTTGCTGGCAGCGTGTACAGAGGGGAAAAATGTCTACACTGAAATCAAGTGCAATTCCTTGCTGCCCCTGGATGACATCGTGAGGGTGGTGACCCATGATGACTGCATCCCTGAGGTAAGCCCACAGAATTGTGAATACTTTTAAAAATGTATTAGGTGCAGAAGTCCCCATACTACTATAGATGAGATAATATATTTAGTCAAGGAATTGGGGTTAGTCTTATAATTCTGAAAATTTAAAAGAGCATTAGAAAGCTTACTTGTTTAGTTCTACAAGAAGCTGCTATAGGAGTCTCTGAATTCTAAGTATGGCAATGTGAACAAACTGAAAGATACACTTGTAACTTCTAGTATATTCTTGAGAATGAGAAAGGTGCTTCACAAATAATTCACAGTCATTGATAGGAGAGGCGAGGATGGTGCTCTAGGATCATCTGTTAGAGCCTGCAGGTTTGCCTTGCTTTATAGAATAGATGCATTCTTGGAAATACGGACCCACATTTTGCTTTATTCCCACGTCATCTTTTACCCTCTGTCCTAGCTTGGCTCTGATGATAGGGAAACAACTCATTAGAAACTGGTTGTCTGCCAACAGGATTAATGAGGCTTCCAGGAACGTACGTTGTCATCATTTCTCTCTTTTCTGCCATTGTGGTGTATTGTTGCAACGTTAATAAATGTATGATACACTGAATATGATATAAATCCAAACATTTTAAATCACAGTAACTTGAAAGGGTGTCAGGTTAGGTTAACTTCCCTACTTCCCAGCAGTCCTCCGGACTTGAAAGTATAATTTTGTGGAACTGTTGACACCACGACTCCAGGGATACTTCATGCCCTGATTAGTTTGAAATAAGATGACGAAGAAAGGAAGCAGTGTAGTGATTAAACCCATGGGCTCTGTTTTTCTTTGAGGTCTTGATTCTGGCCGTGCTTCTTCCCACAGGCAGTTCTCTCTGACTGCACCACTCTTCCCTGCTTCACCTACGTCACTTCTCTGTATCCTTCAGATCTTGATCCAAGCATCACTCTTCAGGGACGACGTCCCTAACCTTCTGTAGTAGAATCTCTAAGAGTCTATAATTTGAAATTTACCATTTAAATTTTAATAGTTAATAAATATCTGTAGCCCTCATGTTCTCTCCCAAGATTATAAGCTTGATGAGGATAACAACTAGGCCTGTTTCTAATTCACCGTTATATTTCCTGAGCCTGAGCCTACACTTAATAAGTATGTTATGAATGAATGAACAAATGAATTAAAGAATGAGTCAGAATCCTGGGCCCATTACTTCTTAGCTGTCTGACAGACTCCAAACAGGTTGATAACCTTTCTCATATTCAATTTCCACAATTTTAAAGTGAGATAAATATAGTGTGTACCTGATGGGATTGTTGGAGGATGAAATTAAGTAAGATATTACATACAAAATGCTGAAGGTGTTTGGCATGTAGCAAACAATGAATAAATGTTAGCTGCTGTCAGGGTGATTATGGTAATGTGCAGAATGGCTCTGATGTCTCCCTGTCCTATGGTCAGTTCCCGACACAGGCGCCCTGTCACTGGAGCTTTGTTTCAGACCTCGGCCAAGTAGCGACAAGCACTAAGGACATGAAAGCTGACTCTATTACTATGGTTCTAACTCATGAATCCCCTGATACTATTTACGTGATTTATATATATATATATATTTGTTTATTTATGGGGAGGTTTATAACATTCATCACATTTTCAATAAAGAGAAAAAAAAAAGAAAAACAAAAATTACTTGCCATACACACTTTAGAAATGGTATATGTGGATGAGACTCGTCCCAGTCCTTTATGAGGAATTTTGCTAAATCTGGAAAGGAATTTTACTACGTCTTAAAATAATACATTTTTTTCGTTGTTGTTAACTGTGAACCTGCTTCTTCTAAGAAATAATAATTTAAATATTTTTGAGTGGCAGTAAAGTATTATTTAGTCATCACATTTAAACATTATTTTAGAACTCTCTTGTTTGCAAATGACAGAAACATAACTTAAACTACTTTAAATTTTTAAAACGGGACTATTATTGGCCCCTGTATTGGGGAATTTGAAGGATAGTTGTTCAGATGGATCAAGAGGTTCAAACAATGTCAGAATTCTCTCTGTCACTTATTCCCTTTTTCCTTGTGGTTTTGCCTCATTTTCCTCTTCTGAGCATAATTTTCCTCCACACACCTGGAGAAGATGGCTTCTTGGAATTCAGTTGTACCTTGTACCACATTATCAATGAGAGAGAGGGGTGGGGGAGGGAGAGGGAGTGAGAAAAAGAGAGAATATGATAGAGACAGAGAGAATGGGAGGGGAGGAGAGAGGAAGAAAAAGAGGGAGACGGGATAGAGAAAGGGGAGTGTTTGGACTCCTAATGTCCCAAATGACAGGTTTGGTTAATGTGAAGCACACTTTCTCACACCAATCACTGGGCCCACGGGAATGGAATACCAGGTCATGTGTTTACCCTGAGTCAGGGGATGGAGTGTCTTAGTAAAAGAAGGGAAGTGGAAATGCTTTCTAGGTATAAACAAAATGTGTTTAATCTTCTATGGGAGCTAACACAGATTTTATTTAACCTTTCATAATTGATATTTGAAAATCAACAATAAGGAAAACTCACTTTCTTTTGTATTTGAAACTTGCACAGGTTAAAATTGCTTATGTGAATTTTGTTAATCACTGTTACGTTGACACTGAAGTGGAAATGAAAGAAATTTACACGAGTAACCACATTTGGAGATTATTTGAGAACTTCTTGGTGGATATGGCAAGGGTAAGTGACACTTTGATCATTAAAGACTACTTCATGTTTAGTCAAGTTGTCAATATTTAGTTTCGCTAAACAGTATCAAGCATCTGGATAAAAACTTAGAATTAAACCCACTACCTTTGGATGTAATCCATTGTATTCAAAACATTATGAATGAGTTTCACAAGGTCGTGAGTGAGATTTAATGAGTTAATATGCACAGACTACCCAGTACAGTTTATATAGCAACGCAGCGTTCACTTTTACTTTTACAACTATGTTGGCTGTTATTAAATGGAATTTTAGTGGCTTTTTTACATTCAATACAGAAGATATTTGGCATAGGTCAATTTATATTCAACCTCTTATCATGAAAGGAATTACAAACCATAGTTGGAAAGGATCTCAAGAGGCCTCAACTGCTGCTTTGGACAGATAAGCACTTGACCAAACTACTCAGGACTTAGCACTGCTCACTGTTACCTTTTCAGAGTCCTCTTTGGAAGTGTGTTTCAGTAATTGAATCATCTAGTGTTTTTAATCATGTCAGTCGAAATGTATTCTGCTTTTTCACTTTGAATCCGTTTCCCCTTGTCTGGCTTTTGGAGGGGGGGGGGGTTTGGGGAGGACATGTGGAGCTGGTTGGCATTTTCTAGATACTGTCTAGCATATGTTTTGCTCTGTTAATATTGAATAAATGAATGAATGGATGAAGAAAGGAAGGAATCTTTTTGATAGAAAGCACTTAATTTTAGTATGTTTTATCCTTTTTTTGCATGCTAAATTATAATGTCTGGGGTGTATTATTTTAGGGGTTTTTTTTTTTTGATCTTCTCTGGTTTTCCCTTTAAAATTATAGGACATAATGTTCAAATAAGAATTTCACTAATAGAAGGTAGGTCTAAGGAATTATCTATATACTATTATGCCTTAAAATAGCCTGTGTCAGTCCTGGGGTTTCCTACATTCCTGGGTGCTGGTAGATTTACATAGGCCTCATGTAGATGTGATTGGACAAAAGGAGTTAGTGAGGTCCATATTTTCACCCTCTTACAAGAATGAATGCTGGCTGTTATCCATTAGCTCACTGCCTCCCTACATCCCTTTCTGGAAGGAGGGAAGACAAAGGGGATATAATAAAACATCAACTGCAGATCGAGACATCCAAGAGCAATCTAGCATAATACAATAAATCATGTATATTCCAGTCCAGGAGCTCTTTGATTTCATCAAGGTTTGCAGGTGAAATATGCTTATTTAACCTTTGGTGAGGTGTAGTAGGAGTGAGTTCCTCCATGTTCAAGCAGGAATCAAGTAAGGCAGTTCCTATTCTACTTCATTTCTATAGAATCTAAAAGACACTCATTACCTTCCTCAGATAAACCTGCACCTGTGGAGAAAATATCCTGTTTCCGCACAGGATTTACATACCACTCAAATTTCCCTCCCTGACCTTGTGAGAGCCCTTGTGCCTGATTGGCTACAAGTATCTCCAGAAAACTTGAAGTGAAGGATGGTTTCTATGCCAATGACTGAGCTTTAAAACTGCGCGTGCAGGAAGATATTAAAGAGATTATAGGCAGATTTGCAGAGTCGCACAGTGCTACGGACGAAAGATAAGCTTGAAAAAGACCAAGGTCACATTCTAGGCAGAATGAGCTGTGAAGCTAAAAGCATTTTTATTTTTTTAAAGCAGACAGCTGATGATGATAACTGCCACTGATTATGCTACCTCTGAAAGATTCTTTTAGTTGATGTGTTCATAAGGCAAAGCTGTATATACTCTTTTGCTCAAAAAGTATAAGTATGCATGTAGGAAGGAGTTTTATTTTAACTATTTTGATTAAGTAGACAATATTATTATATGAAGACTCTGGGGGAACTTTGGGATCTTCTTCGTCTATTCACTCATCATGTCTAACCACAGCAGCTTAGCTGTACTGAGAAAGCAGTTTTTTGTTTGCTCTTGTTTCCCTCTTATTTATACTTTCAAGCAGCAACTCTCCTATCCCCTCATCAAGAATGACAAGGAATCAGCCTACATGTTTTCAGGGAAGGGACAGGGAGCCTGACTTTTCTGTAACTAAGGTGTCTTTCTCCTCTTGAGGAAAGATTAAAGGAGCCACCACACACATTCAAATTCAAATATAAAAAGTGTGATTAAATAAGTAGAATGTGGCCTTCTAGGCGAATTTTCAGCTCAGTAGAGCAGTAGTTCTCAAACTTGAGCGAGCATCAGAATTATCTGGAGGGTTTGTTATAACACGGATTGCTATGCCCTACCCTCCGAGTTTCTGATTCAGTACATATGAGACTGCATTTTAACAAGTTCCCCGGTGGTGCGGAAGCTGCTGGTCCAGGGGCCACACGGAGAACCACTGCAGTAGCGCATGGCAGTGAAGAGCAGGCATTTTAGAGGCAATAGCCAGACCAGCGTTCAAGTCCAGATTCTGCCTTTTCCTAGCTCAGTGACCTTGGACGAGGAACTTACTCCTCTGACTCTGAGTTTCCTTATTTGTCAAATGAGTACAATAATAACACATGTCTCATAGGGAGGATTCACTGAGATAATAGTGTAAGCTATTAGCACATGCTTGGCACTTAGTAAAAGAGTTTCATTTCATCCATGTCATGGTAACATCACTGATACTATTACAGGGTTATATGTAGCCTTTAAAACAATTTCAAAAGCCTTCCCCAAGACTTGTACCAAATAAAAATGTTGAGGATAAGCAAAAGGGAGACCAGCTAACATAGACAAGAGCCAGAAACCATGTCCATGAAGCTAGACAAGCACAATAGTGACTTGACATAGAGATGGACTAAATTCGGATGTTACAACAAAGATATGAAATCCTGGAGCAACTGATTTACATCAGTGAGAAATGGTAAAGGTAATCTGGAGGAAAGGTGTTTGATAAACTGGGCCCAAAGAATCATAGAATCTTAAGGATCCTGGCAGTCATTCAGTTCACAGTCTTCAGCACATGCCTGTATATTTCTATTAACAGCGATTTCACTATTTTTGAGACAACTGGCTTCATTATTGCACAGTTTCAATTATTAAAAGCTCTTATATTGAGCCAAATTTTTATGTAGTATAATTTTTGTCTGTTTCTTCCATGTGCCGCCACATAGAATGATTCGGTTCAGCAAAGATATAGGTGTTTACTACAAGCAGCATATTTTCCTTGCTAGTAATCTACTTTGAAATGACAAAATTATACAACTTAAAGGAACCTTAGATCATCTAGGTCAGCGGTTCTCAACCTTTCATAGGGGTCGCCTAAGACCATCGGAAAACACTTATTTTCCATGGTCTTAGGAACGGAGACACCGCTCCTCTATCCATCTCCAGGCCCACATGCAGATACGCCCACATACAAGTACCCGGCGACCCCTGTGAAAGGGTCGTTCGACCCCCAAAGGGGTCATGACCCACAGGTTGAGAACCGCTGATCTAGGTTGACCTCAAATTTTGCCCCTGAGTTGCAGAGAGATTTTTTGGTAGCATAAGGCGACTTGCCTAGCTGGTAACAGGTGGGAAGTCTGCTGCAGCCTAATCGAGTGCTTTTCCCATAGCTGCTTCTCAAATGTGTTCTGACAGCTCTTGTGTGTCATGATTTTCTCCATGTCTTTCAGTGGTTCCTTTTCTGATATGGTTTCTGGGTCATCGTTGTTTTCAGTATACTTTCAGGCTCTCTCTAATTTGTCAGGGATTTGTTTTTGTTTGTTTTTTAGCTTGGTATTTGGGATGGAACCCAGTACTTCAAGCCAGAGTCTGACCAACTCAAGGAAGATGATTATTTTAGTAGAAATTTGGAGAAAGGCCTTATTTAAAAGGCAAATAAAATATTAATATGTAGTGGCACTTATATCATCTTCAACTTTTCTTGTTTCTCTGGAGTCAGCACTGCCAGGTTTTTTTGTTTGCTCTCTAAAGAGTTACTTTAATTAGTATCTTTCATTTTCCTTTTTGCACCCTCTTGTCTTTTCTCTTGTTAAGACCCATATAACAAAATCTTTCTGAAAGACTGTTTTTAATAAACTGGTGCTAGATTGTTTCACATACTTATTCCATTCTGATTTCCTGAGAAACACTGCATCTATCCTGTAATACATCAAATTTAGGCAGGCAGCAAAGCATTACACCCATGAAAAGTTGTTCTACTGTCTTTGTGAGCATTTAACGACAGTCCACTTTGATCTATGTTCCAGTGCAGCCAAAATTGGTGTTTATAGGGCAGAAATGCTTTTCTTTTTCTTTATAATTGATTGTTGTTGCAGGGGTCAGGGGACTTGAGTCATTATTAGAGAGCACATGGAGGGAGGTGCACTGTGGTCAGTGTTAGCCGCAGACTATATTTTTGCTTTTGAATTTGTTCCCAATTTTGCTGTCAATTTCAAGATTCCATAATGGCCAACAGTACTCTTAGTGAGTGATGTATTGGTATAATGAAATTAGACCAAAAAATTACTTAGAGACACACCTAACACAATGGCATGTCATTGTCCCATCAATCACTGCTTAACAAGACAAATCAGAGTATTTCATTTCCAAATAGATCACTTGAGCCATTCTCTCCCTTTGCTGAGTTTACCAAATCACAGGAAGTAGGACTAAAGAAAAAATTGCGTATGGGATTGAATAGGTTTTCTTTGCCTGATGATTTGATTCTGTAATTTTCTTGACCTTCTTCAGTGGAATGAGCCATTGAAAAATTCACTTTAAAGGGTTCTTATTTTATGGCCTTATTAGCTAGTAATGCAGGGAAGTGAAGGGTATAAAGTATCTATAAAGCTTCTTCTTTGTGTAGCATCTTTCCCTCAGGCATAATTCAATGTTTTGCCTCAACTTTAATGTTGAATTATAATGATGGTGCCCACCTGGAATGAATACTTGTTTGGCTATTCCTGATAGATGAGTTGTTGGTTCCAGCCCTACATCATACATTCTGCTCTTTAACTCATTGGCAACATTTATCATAGTCGATCAGTTCCTTCTTGGAACACTTCTTCCCTTG